ACTGGACTGTGTAGTCATCCAAGTCACAGCCTCTTAACTTGTTCACCAGTATGGGGTGGGATACCGTATCGAAGGCCTTCCTGAAGTCTAAGCATACGACATCCACCCCTCCTCCTGTGTCCAGGCGTTTTGTAACCTGGTCATAAAAAGAGACTAGATTGGTCAGGCACGATCTGCCTGCCACGAACCTGTGCTGGTTTCCCCTCAGCATAATTTGTCCTGCTGGGCTCTCACAAATGTGAGCCTTGATAATTTTTTCAAAGACTTTGCCAAGGATGGAGGTGAGACTGACTGGCCTATAGTTGCCCGGGTCCTCCTTCCTCCCCTTCTTGAAAATGGGGACCACGTTGGCCCTTTTCCAGTCCTCCGGGACTTGGCCCGTGCGTCACGAGCGTTCAAATATTCCCACCAGTGGCTCTGCAATGTCGTCGGCCAGTGCTTTCAGCACCCTCGGATGGAGCTCATCCGGGCCTGCCGACTTAAAGGCATCCAGTTCTTCCAAATGACTCTGCACCATCTCAGGGTCTACGCATGGAAGTCTGGTGCCTTGCTGCTGCCTCTCTACAACCCCAGTGAGAGACTTGTCGTGCCCCTTGCTTAGGAACACTGAGGCAAAGAACTCGTTGAGGAGTTCAGCCTTGTCCCCTCTGTCTGTCACCATTTGTTTCTGCCCATTTAGCAGGGGTCCTATTCCTCCCTGGGCCTTCCTTTTACTCCCTATATATCTAAAAAACAATTTCTTGTTGTCCTTTACTTGGGATGCCATCCTCAGCTCCATGGTGAGTAGCATCTCACCATGGAGTGAGAACTACATCCAGTAGTGGGAGCTCTGGTATAGGTTTCCCCAAATCTCCAACCATCTTTTGTTATTAAATGTTCAGACCCAGTTAAAATAATGAGCCTTCAGCCATCTTTTTATACAGGTTCCCATTTTAAATATTGGCTTCATCTTTTCTGCTCTCTCCTTTGTGCAAATGATTCTTTTACTTCTCTTCCTCCACCCCCCCAAAAAAGCCAGATAAACCCAAACAAATGTGCAGCAGATGGAAATCTGAAATTCATAGTGGAAAGCTCAGGTCTGCTCAGACATACATGAGCCCAGTTGTTTAAATGGCTGGAATATTTCCATCTTTCCACCAACCTGAATGAGGGGCTTTGTTGGGGAGGGAAGGAAGGAGTCACATACAAAGGCTGCTTTAGAGCATATAACATTTAACTAGTTAGTTTGGAGAAGGCGAGCAGTTTCTTCAGGGATGAAAATTACAGAGCTCATTTCAGTCTCTCTAAATAACAAAAGAACAACGGAGTGATAGATTAGACTATTATTTATAAGCACACAGTACTTTCACACACTCACCCCATACTTTTGGAATAAAGCCACACCATCAAATGTGTATTATATATCCCATAGTGAAAGGAGGGCAGGTGGGATGGCAAGCATTTTGGGAAGACCGGTTTGGGAGAGAGAAGGGATTTCCCCCCTTTTCAGAATATTTCCTCTGCTCTACCCTCTTGGTTTCTACTGGTTCATCCCTTCAGGTCTTTCATCCAATTTCCCCTTCCCCTCTCTGTGCAACTGTTCCCACTCCTGCTTTCCAACTGGGGACAAAATGATTCCATGGGAGAATAAAAGCTCTGTGAAGCCCAACAGTACAAATAAGGGCTTCTAATCACATCTGACTCCTCTTGGGTTGGATGGGGGTTATCAATACTATAGCAAGGATTTTAATTAATGCTATTTGAGATCTGAAAGAAAAAATGGAAAAAAAAGCAGAAGAGACAAGAACTCACAGGTAGAAAGACTATTGATAGTTTGAATGAAAGAACAAGAACAAACCAACAAAAATCCATGTGCTGTTTTAAGTCTTGAGCCTGTAGATAGGCTCATGTGATAAGAACCTGACATCCACAGAGTCCTATTGGAATCAAGAGTATCCCCCAAGTGTGACAGGATATATGCTTAAGATGCAAGGACCATAATGTAATTCCCTTCCTATTAGGGCTTAAGAAATGCCATCCTGAATCAGACCAAAGGTCCATCTAATCCAGTCCCTTGCGTCTGACAATGGCAAGTAGTAGACACTTTAGGGGGTAGAATATATGAACAAAGCATGACTAATGACTGAACCAGTTATATACCATCCAGGGGCAGATGAACGCATGGGTGCACACCCAGGGGCAGGGGCCCCCTGTGGCAGCACAGCCCAGACGGGCATCCAGGGCAGGTAACATGTGCCTCCTCCCCTCCAGGGCCAAGCATGTAGCTCTGTGCAGGTGGCAGCAGCTTTCCAGGGCTGTCTGCTGCCAGGAGGCCCCATGGGTGGCCCTGTTCCTGCTCTCTGCTGTTTGCTGGTGGCCATTGGCACCAGCGCTACTGGGACAGGACAGGACAGGACAGAATAGCCCCCGCCTGCTGGGGCCAGGAGAGGGGCAAGCAGGTAGCCAGGGTAGCCCATGCCTCCCCCCACAGCCAGCCCTGTCCTGTCCCATGGCACTGGGGAATTGCAGCCCCAGCTGTGTGAAACCCGCTGGGCAGAGAGCCAGGACCAGGGCTGCCTTCACCTCAGTGGTGCTCATGTCTCCTGGCTCACTCCAGATGCACCGAGGAGGTCGGGTGGGCCCAGCCCCAGCTCCCTGGTGGGCGCACAGGAAACCTGCCGTTGTCTGGTGGGGGGGGCCTCCAATTTTCTGTTTGCCCAGGGCACCGTTAAATCTTAATCTGTCACTGACACCATTTGTGTCTATAGCCTCACGGCAGTGAATTCTGCACATTAAATACTTGCAGTGTAAAAAGTATTTCCTCCTCTTTGTTTTAAACCTGCCTCATGATAATTTTAATGAGTGCCCCCTACTTCCTCTATTCCGGGGCTTGGTGAATAGCAGGTGCTATATTTGCTGTATCCACAACTTTCATGATTTTAATTCTATAGACAGCCTTTTTGAGAACTAAGATTTTTTTTAATGAAGTTCTGTGGTTAGTTTTAGAATCCAACCACACACCATGCTACGGCATTCTAGAAGAAGCGCTGTGTTTCTGATAAATGAACAGTACTGAAAGTCTAAGGTATGTGATGAATTACTGAAATCTATATTTTTATAGGAGTTGCTGAGTCCAATATACATCATTTCTCAAGTGTCTTTTCATCATTTAACTTACAGATCCATAAATGGTAGATTCTCTTCACCAGAGTCCGATGGTCTATGGGGATTTCATCAGCGAAGTTCTGGTAGAAGCAAGGTTTCAGAGGAATAAATTTCGGGAGCGGTGGAAAGTTATTCACCTTTTCTACAAAAGAAAACATAGTTTACTGAACTCAGAATTATTCTCTTGGATTACAAAATAATCACGTGACACTCCATGTGCTTTCCCAGTATTCAGTGGTATAGGCTGTATATGGGTATAGGTTCTTTACTATTCATTCCATCCAGGAAGAGCACAGACCAACTGCAGATGCTTCCTCAGCCTGAGGAAGAGAGTATTTGTACAGGTTTTCCTCGCCAACTGCTGGGGTTAGGTTCCTGAAAGATTCCATGGTTGGCAAAACTGTGATTGGCAAGACAAAAGGCTTATGGGAAAAATGGCAGGTGGCGGGCTGATGCGTGGCCACAGACTATGGTCACTCAAAACTGTATACCATGGTAGCCAAAATGGTATATAGAATATTAAGTGTAGATACTCAAAACAGTGGTTGGTAGGGCTGTGAAAAGCTTTGGTCCCCAATTCGATTCGGCAGAGATTTGGCCTGATTCGGTGGCTGATTCTCTGAATCCAAATCGAATCAAGAGGACCCTTTAATCTCTCCGAATCGATTCGGACAGATTCAGTGATTCAGATGTAGATACAGCTTTAAATGTTTTTTCTATACCTCTAGGTAGCAGGGGCTCTGAACGCTGTGGTGCTGGGGCAGATGCAGTGTCCCACAGAAGCATGGGGGGCTCCCCATTGCACTTGGCAGGAGACTCGGAAGTGGACCAGAAGCACTTCCGGTCCACTTTCTGGTCCACTGGGGAGCGTGCGGGGGGGGCCTCCCTGTACCCCCGCCTCCGGCTTGGCGACTGGTGCCTCTTGGGTCGGGGGGTGGGGGGGGGTGGGGGGTGCACCTGGGATGCCCCTGTGGCCGATTGCCAGGCCGGAAGGCCTAAGCACGCTCCCCAGCAGACCTGGTACTTCCAGTCTTCTTCCGAGCACACTGGAGAGCCCCCCACACTGCTGTGGGATGCTCCATCCACCCCAGCACTGCAGTGATCACAAGCTGCGCAACTACCTCAAGGTACGTAGAAAAAACTTTTAAAGCTGTGCCTGTGTCCAAATCGCCAATTTGACAAATCAGTATTGAACTGTCATATTTGGATTTGGCAGAATCGAATCGGGGACAGTGATCTGAATCAACAGATCGAATCACTGTCCCTGACTTAAGCCGAATCTGAACTGAATAGGGCCTGTTTCACACAACCCTAGTGGTTGGTGAGGGAAACCTGTACCCAAAAGCTTGCAAAGAAGAATTTTTCCAACTATTTAAGTTGGTCTAATAAAATGTATCAGATTTACCCAAAGAAACTTGTCTTCCCAGTGTTCAAGTATCCTGGGAATCCCAAGATCTGGGGAAGGAGGCTGGAACTCTCTCATGAAAAATATGCTTACTACTAGAAAAGAAGAGGGGTTACTTACTCTTGGCATTCAGGATAATTCACTCAAATGAGTCAACATTAGCCCTTAGCTTCATTCTGGACATGAAGGGGTGTTCGGCCCTGTGTACAGCCGTTCACATGAATGGATGAATAATGGGAGGAACACTACTGCTCTGGTTTGGCAATGTTTTACTGCCGCAAAGTACAGAGCAACATATCTTAGGGCTTTGCTCGAAAGCCTTGGTAGTTTATGCAAAGCGAGAGAGTGAGCGAGTGAGGAAACCCAAGTCAGCAGCTGTATCACAGGGTGGTTGCTCCTGTTGGGGCGTTTTGTTACAGTACAGAAGTAAGAGGTAGTGGGCTCTTTTTTGTTTCCCATACCAACATTCAGGTCAAAAGACAGGGACCTTTCCATCCCCCTGGATGGGGACCAATGAAGGTTTGCTTGAAGATGAGCTAAACCCCTCAGCTTGAGGTCCTGCAGGCACAATGACCTAGGCCTTCATGTCCACAATCAGGATGATATCAAGGCAACGAGACAGACCTTTGTGAGACTGTGTCAGAACTGGGTTTATCCAAACTGCCATTAGTTGCTGACAAGCTATGCATTTTATTATATTCAATATGCCAGCTTGTGTGTTTCTACTTGTTTTGCAATAGTTGTTTTTGCCTTTGAGTGCCAATTCGTTTGATTCCAGGGCACTGTGACTAACTGTCCCAAGTCTTCTTCAGCACCAATAAACAGATTTAAAAACAACTGGAGGAAGAGTGATGAAAAAATGTCCTGGGAAAACCTCCAAATGGCACAAAAGACAAAAGGAAATGTCTGAACATGAACTGTCAGTGCAAGCAAGTTCCCAATCTCTGGCCATTATCACTGTGAGAAGATCATTAAGAAAGCTGTTTCCGCAAAACTGCTTTTTACTGCTGGCTGGGAGCCCTCTAAACCTGCAATCAGATCTGAAAGAAGAATAGTTTTAGATTTCTTTTCTTTCCCTGAAAGGAACCCCATATATTTTACAATCTGGTATACACAGGCTCCTTAAAATACAGCCATGTTTGGTGTGAGGAAGTGGCAGCTCTCTGGCATTCAGCATACGTCTACAACAAAAGGAAAGGGGAAATTTTGGCCACTATATTACTACCGAAGTCCTACAGCAAAGGGACATAATAATTTTCCAAGTAGTACAAAATGCACAAAGTAAACTGCATTGTGCTAAATATATCTACCTTGGAAAGGTGGAGTGCTCAGCTGAACTTGTCCTTCTGGGGAGGCTACAGACCAAATTTGCTAAAGCTTACAGCACCATATCTGAGTGATGAGATTCCCACTGCTCCCTTCCCCCTTCATAGGAGATGGAAGTAGAGGAGCATTAGATGCATTAGAAGAGGAAGGGCTATTGCAACAGGCTTTTCCCTTATTTAATTCCTATGAACTATTAGGCAACTCACAAACTCCATTTTCCATGGAAACCAGGGCTGTAGGACGTGCAAGTGGCCAGGAGCCACATGCACCCCGACCCCACACTCAGCCACAGATGCATCCTGTTGCATAGGCACTCTGTGCTGCTCCAAATTGCACCATCCCACCCCCTGTTACCAGCTATAAGAAGCACTGTAGGCCCCATCTTCCATGTTGATGCTCTTCCATGTCTACTTTTTAAGTCAATGAATTTTCAGACTGCTTATCCCTTGTTTGGGTTCATTATAAGCATCTACTGAGCACCACACACTAAAATGGAATGCAAAGTCCTGGGTCTGGCAGTGGGGGGAATGGGGGATGCAGCTTTAAAGTCCAAAACAGAGCTCTCTCCAGAAGAGCCCTACCAATAAAAGTAGCCTTCTATACAGTAAAACGAACAGTCTTTGTCCACATCCTCCTTTTGGATGGTGTCAGCCCCTTATTATCCCCTGATCCCCCTGCCCTTCACTCCAAATGTAGTTAGACACCTTACACCAAAGCAGATGCTCCTCTATTTCCATCCCCTACAAACAGGGAAGGGGGCCGTGGGAATCTTACCACTCAAATATGGTGCTGTAAGCTTTAGCAGATTTGGTCTGTAGCCTCTCCAGAAAGACAAGTTCAGCTGAGCACTCCACCTTTCCAAGGCAGATATATTTAGCACAATGCAGTTTACTCTTTGCATTTTGTACTGCTTAGAAAATTACAATGTCATTTTGCTATAAGACTTTGGTAGTAATACAGTGGCCAGAACTTCTCCTTTCCTTTGCTGTAGAAGCAGCATGCTGTGTAGGGCTATGCAAAGCTTTGGGCGCTGATTCGATTTGGAGGAGATTTGGCCCGATTCAGTGGCTGAATCTCCAAATCCGAATCGAATCAAAGAACCAATTAAAAGGTCCAAATCGATTTGGAAAAGATTCCGAGAGCTTTGATGATTTGGGCAGTCCCTGCCCACTGCAGCAGGGGGACTCAGCTGGCAAGTAGGGGGTGGGAGAAGCGGGGCTGGAGGAGGGGGACAGGATCATGGGAAGACACCCCCCCCCGGCTGGCTTGCCTGGCCCCAGCTCCTGGTTGTTTAAAAAAAAGCCCCTAGTCACCAGGTAGTACTGGGCGGGGGATGAGGGGGAAATTCCCACTGACCCCCACTGCTTGTTTTTTTCAGGAAAGGAAAAGATGTCTAAGACTATATTCTTCTCTTAGCTCTGACAGCTTACTTATTATCCCCTGATCCCCCTGCTGTTTGGTTTGCTACAGAACTCATGCCTGGGTCACATCTGCTTAAACAAATCCAACCAACCAACCCCCAAAATCCAGAACTATACTGTCCATTCCTAGAGGCTAAATAAATTCAGGACATGCTCCTGCTTCCAATAAAGGCAGTGGGAGTTTTGCTATGGATCTCCCTGGGAGCAAAATTAAGCCATAATTTTGAACATTTATTATGTAGCTAGAAAAGCTGTGGAAGAGATGTGTAACCTCTGCAGCAAGGGGCTATTTCAGGGCAGTCTTTCCAGGCCAGCTTCCTTTTCTGCAAAGTTTGAAGAAGTCACATTTAGCCTTGCATAGCCACTATAGTAACTTCAATGATCTTGAGGTAGATGCAGAATAAAAAAAAAAAAGCGGGGGGAGGAGGAGAAAAGGAGGAAATTAAGAAGAAAAGGAAAAAAAAAAAGGAGAGAGTAGCAGCCAAATGGCTAAGGGATGCAGTGTCCAAGGAGAGGGGAGGTGTTTCAAGCCTAATCCACCCTTCTGGTTGCTACTCATTGATAATGCCCAAATCCTCAACTTGCAGTTGCTGCAATGAAAGGCATCACCCATCAAAAATCTTGCCTCTTACACACTGATAAGACATTCATTTGCAACCCTCCGTTTCAGCATCACTGGTTGGTGCTTTACCTGCCATTTTTGTTGGAAATGGTCCCTGGAGAAGCTTTGATCAGACAGAAGCGGACCTATTAGAGTAGGGAGGGAAAAAAAAAAGGCAGATCAACAACGTATCTTTGTAATTCATATTCACAGCACTAAGTTTCAAAGGTTTCTTTCCATAATTTTATAAAGTTTATGTTTGTTTATGAATGATTCTACGCTTAAGATTGCCAGAGCAGCTTGCTCACTGCAAACTGCCCATCTCCACACCAGGCCGAAACAGCATCTTTGAGGGAAACAGGAAACCCCCTGTTTGTATTAATGCAATATTATCTTTGGAGGCGTAATTACAACCTCAGTGTCAACAACGTTAAAGATTTTACTGTTCAGCGCTGAACAAACGAACTTTCTTGGTTGTACCTGGCATGGTCTTAGGTTGCACAGGAAAACTGCTGCCAGCACACGCATGCACATTCGAGCTGAAGCAAGACAGCAGGCCGAGACAGATGGGTCTGGTTTGGGCTCGGAGGACAAAGCAAAATACACACGGAGGAAAAGAAACCGGTACTAGCTCACCAGACATACTGCCTCATTTAGGCACCAGGATGATCCAACTGCTCTCTGACTCCGACAGCGCTTTCCGCAAATGGCAAACAAAGGGTTAATCCAACCTCTTTAGCCATCATTAGCTGGCTGGGAAAGAAGTTTTCCCATCAAAAAAAACTAACAGCACTGTTAGTTTCACCATCTCTGATAAAGCTCCTTCCAGCAAGAGTTTGGTCAGCTTTCAGCATGGAACGCAGAACGGCCAAGGAATCCACACAACCTTCACTGAAAGTTACTGTGGAATCATGCACAAATACACACAGCTCTCTGAAGTAAACTGATTCTTCCCCAACCCCACCAGAAATTATTGCAACTCCTAAGGGTGCACCGATAGATTTTTGGGCCCGATTCCGATAGCTGATTTTTAAGGAGGCATATTGGCCGATACCGATCCGATGTTCTATACAGCATGGAGAGCTGCGCAGCTGGTAAGTCTGTTGTGGTGGAAGGGGAGGAGGGAGGGAAGAAGCATGGCGGGGCAGATCAATGCTCCGGCAGTGAGGAGGGAGTGGGGCTGGGGCAGGGGACAGAGCTGCAGCTTGTTTGCGGGGTGCGGGGAGGGTGGGGTGGCTCCCACTGCTGCGTGTTCCCTGGGAGGGCACAGGGGTGGCATGTGCCCCTGGATCTGCGCAGGGTGGGCTGCGGTGCCGGGCTCTTCCCAGCGGGGGCTGGGCCAGGCTGTGCTCAGGGCAGGCAGCGGTGCTGGGAGGGGGTGAAGTAGGGGGGCTGCAGCCACCCCAAAATTCACTGTAGTCCCCCCCAAGCCCTCTTCCCAGCACTGCCTCTGCCCACCCTGAGTGCAGAGCAGCCCAGCCCCTCCACCAGGAAGAGCCCGTTGCAGCCCCAGCCCCAGCCCCACTCCTACCTCACCACGGGGGCTGTGATCTGTCCCCCCATGCCCCTTCTCTCCCCCTTCCTTGTCCACCACAACAGACTTACCAGCCACATGCAGCTCTCCAAGCTGCCAGGCTGTGCTCCTCTTCATCTGCATGTTGTGCTGCAGCTGCATGCATGCATGGGCCATTTATCGGTCACATCAGGCCAATTTCTGATGCAGCCAATTTTCTTTATATTGGTGCCCATCCAATATCGGACCAATGTGTCAATGCACCTCTAGTAACTCCTGAAGTGTCCAATCCTGCAAGCTTTTCTCATATCACCAGTTCCACTTACTTCAGTGGAACCAATCCCTGTACATTTATAGGCAGAAACCATGCATGGCAATGATTTCAGTAAAATCCAAGTTGAAAACAAAGCAACAGTTAAAATTATTGTTAAGGGCAAATTCTAAACCAGAATTTCAATGCAACTGAGTTAAGGGCAAACACGTTCAGTTTAACACGACACACCAAGAAAAGTCTCCCTTGCATGCCATGTAGAGCAGGGGCAAAGAACCTGTAAGTCACAAAAGCCAAGTTCTACTCAAAGTGCGCTCTCTCAGCCACTATTTCCTCTTCCACCGTTCACCTGCCATATTAGTCTCCTGGTCAGCACAGACTCTGTACTGTTGCAAAGATTTTGAGCAGGGATTTTTTTAAAACTGATCTAGAATGGCACAGCCTGGGGTATACATGGTTTCATTGGCATACAAATGACTTATACCAGTGCAATTTATTCCCCTACCTGTGCAAGGAGAGCTCTACTGCATAACTGCATACACAGAATAGAGCTTGTACTGCTTTAGCTGTACCAGTATAATGTATAAGGCAGGGTAGATTTGCATCTTATAGACTAACCAAAGTAGATTATATTTATATTCTAATTTCTCTCTCCTCCTTTTACTCTGTTTTTGGCATGTCCTTTCACAGCATCTGATGATCTCTCTCTCTCTCTCTCACACAAGCTTCCGTAGGCTGAAGTTTACTTCATCAGATGCTGTGAAAGGACACGCAGAAAGCAGAGTATAAGAAGGAGAGAGAAATTAGAATATAATCTACTACATATATTATACACACACACATACATATACATACACACACAAGCACAACACACACACTTTCGTTAGCTTACAAAAGGTACAAATCTACGATGTCTTCTCCTTGCCCATATACAGTAAAAGCTCTGTTATCCAGCATCCCCCGGGAATGGGGGATGTCGATTAATCAAATATTCCGGTTAATCAAATGTGTGCTGTCTGGTGCACTCCCCGGTGTCAGTGTGCCAGGGAACATGGAGGGGGCCCTGCACAGGCTGCTTTGCCCTGGGCCGTTGGCTGAAGAAGTGGCAAAGAAAAACTCCGCTCACGGCGGCGAAACACAAAAGTGGTACTTCTGGTTTCACTTTTGCCGCGTCCCTCGGATGCTGGTTAATAAGAGTTTTCTGGCTAATAAAGTGCTGGTTAACACAGCTTTTGTTGTACTAACATGGCTAGCTATGTCTCTCTGCACATAATTAATGCATACAAAACTTATGTAGATTATATACAATTCAGGGCAGGGAACACTCCTTGTGCAAAGAGGAGCCATAAGCCTGTGTCAAAGTACACACAAATGACAGACATCAACCCCACCCAGAAGGGGTTTGATATATCATTCTGATATAAAAGGCAATACTTTTGTTTTGCATTTTTTTCATTTTAAATGCAGGAGCAGGAAATTAAACATTAAGACAATTCAAGTTCAAATAAAACTTCTGACCTTTCCCTTGAGGATGCTGCTGATGGAGACTAAGATTGCTGCAAAGAGCAAGTGCTTCAATTAAAACAAGATTCTTTGGGTAAATCTGATGTCAATTAAAACAAGTTACTTTTAAATGCTGGTATAAAAGAAATTTTGTCTCTAACATCATTGTTAATGAACAAATGGGGCAACTTCAGACTAGAGATATCCACATATGATGCTTCAATTCCAAAATCAATCCTTACAGTTGTAAAGGGAGAAGAACCATTTAATGGTTACAGTAGAAGGTCAGGATGAAGAATTCCTGGATTCTATCCCTGGCTTTACTGGGTCCTGGGGACCTCGTCGTCCATCTTCCTCCTGTGCCTCTATTTCTCCATTAAGAGAATGCTTTTACCAAAAACCCCCCTACATTTATTTAGTTAAAAATAGTGGGGAGAAAGGACTGGAACAAGACGATCCATCTTGCATGCTCTTCCTCTCAACTCTTTAACCTCATTTACCTTCTCAACTCATAATACAGCCCTCTTGTGATTTTATGCTCTAGAAACACAGCTGTTTGCATGGCAGTTAACTAGTAAGTGAATGAATGCACCGGGCTACCCAGGCTTGCAATCACTGCTTCTATCAAAAATCTTGGTGAAGTAACTGGGACGACTCTAGTTTCACTGCCAAAATGACGAGTTTTTAATGACAAGATGGCTATATCAGTGTAAAAACAGTGTGCCTTTTGGCAGCAAAGACAGAGCAGATGAACAAATTAAGTGCAGCAGGATCAAGCCCTAAGATATAATTCTTTAGACTCTTCTGGTTCTGCTAGTTTCAGGCACCAATCATGCTCCTACTAAAGGCAGTGGGAGTTTTGCCAGGGATCTCAACAGAAGCAAGTTCAAGCCCTTTGTGGACATGTACTTATTTTGTTGGCTGGGAGCTTGAAGTGCTTTTCTCCCATGCTCTGAATGACTATTGACCCGTTGTCATTACACACTCCCAACCTGTCATTCATTTTGGCAGGGACTTCTGCACCCTCTATACTGTGGGCCCTGGGGAGAATACACCTTAGATTTAAGTTAAACAGAAATCCTGCTCCTGAAGGTGATGACATTGCTCAACTTTGACCTGAATGTATTTAAGCATGGATATACTATGCTTTTATTTAATGAAACCCTAGCCACAAGTGAACTACAATAGCAAGATACCAAAGTACAAAAATGGTTAGACTGCAAATACTGATAAGCAATAATATCTACACCAAGAGATTTACTGACTATTCAAACAAAAACACCAGAAACACCAAAATAAGTTTTTTTGTTTTGCAGAGTCGCATGGAAACATTTTCAATTTGGTTGAAAATAAACAGATCAAAACTGCATCGATTCCAGCACACTTGGCAACCGTGACTTTTTCATATGAAATCCATCTTTGGAAGAGGGCAGGACAAAAATCATCCTGGAAGGAAATCCTGATGCAAAATGCGCTTTCCTTTTCCGCTCTACACAGAAGCAATCAATGAATAACACCAAAGGTTACAGTCCAATTCACATGACTCACAAACACAAGCTGTGCTTCAATAAAAGCTGCCTCCATTTTAAAAATATAAAAGTGGTCTTGTGTCACTTAAATAGATAATGTCTTCCCTGTTTAAAAAGCCTAAGAACTGTCAGCACCGCTCTCATTTTCCAGGAACTAGTAGGCAACAGAAATTATATTAAAAGTACAAGTCAGCTTTAATGTCTTCTTGTAAACAAAACATATTAGAGGTTATCAAAAGAGAACTAATTTGAAAAGCCTGATTCACCGCTCATCACCTGCCCCTTTACCCAATTTTTGCCTCCATCTCAGTTGGAGAAAGGGTGGCTCACCAGTTAGGGGACTAGCCTGAGAACATCAATTCACCACCCTGCTCTGCCACCAACCTCCCATGTAACCATGAGCAAGTCATTTAGGGCTGGACTCATTCAGGCACCGAAGTCCAAGAACACAAGTCTCAAAACCTCCACCTACCCCTCCAGGTTTTAGCTGGTTCAGTTCCCTAGTCTTGCATCTGTGCAAGGCTGGAACTCGCTAAGGCTTATCTGGGCTCAACAGCTCCACATCCCTCATGCTCAAGACCGATTTCTCAAGAAATTCAAGAATTTCTGTACGAATTCCTGCACCGATCTGCCCCAAGGGTGAGTGTAAACCAGGAGACTTTGATCAGACCTCACACACACCTACAGGATCAGGGATCCCACAAACCAGCAGCAGTCATTGGTTTTGTTCAAAGATGAGGTTAGAGCAAGTGACAGTGCTGGTGCTGCCGCCCCCTCATTTTATACAATAGCCTAGTAACTAGAGCACTCAGCCAGAACGTGGGAGGCACAGGTTGAATTCCTGACGAAAGTAGAGGGGATTCAAACCCACGCATCCCATTTCCAGCCTGTAGCTCATTTTGGGGCACAAAGCTACATTCACTCTCTCCTTTTAAAGCGGGTGCATTTTGAATACAGGAATTCAACATTTATTGGGCAGGGAGAGAGCAAGGAGAGACAAACGTTGCAGGCTGCAGAGCAGCCTGGAGTCTGCGTTCAGATGCCACCTTCAACCCAGGGCCACTGCCTGGATTCAAGCAACGACGGTTTGATGCAAGTCATCTCCAGACCCATCAACAAGCCGTGGAGACTGTCTTTGAATTGAAGGATTGCCCCCCTCCGCCCCCCCTGGGTAAAACCCAGGAAGAGGCCCTGGCGTGCAAGTCTTCCCCTCCCGAGAAATACCCTAACCGCTGGGTCGGGGACTGCCGACGAACGTTGAATTAATTGACGGTAACTCCTTCAAACAGATTTTCAACCGCAAAGCGCCTGCGTAAAGGGAGAAAACGACCCATCGCTACCTCTGCGGGCCTCTGAAAAGAAAGGAGCCTTCCTTAGCCTCTGCATTTACTTATTATTTCAGGAAACGCCAACTCTGAGCAGGGTCCGGGCCACGGGGCTGCTGTAAGTTCGGCTCTTCAGCGGGGACGTGGCCGTGAGCCCCACGCCGGGGTGCCCGGTGCCCTTGCACGGCCAGGCGAGGGGTCGCGGAGGCCCCCCACGTTTCAAAGCTATACGGGCCTCTCGGCGGCCCTCACCGGGCCCCCACCCCTCATCACGGGGTGCCCTGCTGGGGGGCCCGCAGGAACCGGATCGGTTTGGTTTCAGCCTCGAGAGGCGGTGCACACGGAGGGGGGGAGGTAGCTCTGGATGTCGGGGACCCGCGGGGGCTCCCAGGCGGCGCCGCAGCCCTCTCCCGAGGCCGCTGGAGCCGGCGGGGCGCGTTACTCACCGGCTGGAGCGGGCGGGTCCCGGGCGCTAGGACATGGCAGCGGCAGCGGCGCGGCCTG